TATATATATATATATATTAATTTTTTTAAACATTGCAATATGCTCAACTCTTGCCTGTTTTTCAGTTGTCACAAAGGTCTTGCAGTGTATAAGCCTAACACCCATTGAGTGAGGTGACAAGACATTTCAAAGGGGGGAATTTCCCACTTCTTTCTTCAGATACTTGTCTGCAGGGATGAAACGAGGCACATATGTTGAAACCAGGTGTTTCTGAGCCTTTTTTAAGTAAGGGTATTTATCCATATGTAGTCTATGAAGCCTTTCAAGTCATTGGGAGAATTTCTCTGTTTTTTAGCTCAAACGTGTCTGTGGAGATGCGGGGAGATGCATATGTGAGTTTTGGGCCAATCAGAGCATGGATACATGAAGTCTTGCCAGGAGTCCCTGGACACTTGTAACTTCAGTGGGTGGTTCGTCGTGGCATTCACGGCATCATACTTCAGTATTGGGCCAATCACAGCATCCTTAGGCCCTCAAAGTCCATAGACGAGATGGGCGTGGCTGGCCCGACATCATACTTGGGTCTTTGGGCAATCAAAACAGAGATTAGTTATGGGATCTGGACCCTTTGATACATCCAGAAAGGTCCTAGGACACGCCCCCACAAGGCCCAAAATGAAGCCTGGCCTAAATTTAAGGTGATTTTACAATACAGTACAACTTTATAAATCCCGAGGGGCAATTCATTCAGGGCTGAAAGGGTGCATCAAATAGGACAAACACACACAGACAGTATAAAGAATAAAATATAAAACACTCAAGGAATCAATGAAAAGTGTGTGGCGTAATTTAAGAAACTACAAATTCATGGTAGCCACAGTTCTTACTTAATTTCAGGGCTAAACTATCTCTAGAATAGTCCCTAGATCTTCCTTGATGGTCCTGTTAACCAGGCAGATGGCCTCTGGCACAAATGAGGCCCTACGCCTATTGGTGGAGCACTTGAGACAGCGCAGGTGGCGTCCAAGGGGGAGCAGTTTGAACTGCAGGTTGAGGACATGGGTGCTCTCCCCCAGGAAGTCATACGCCTTCCTCCTGGCCTGCTGCTCAAAGAATGAGGCCATACTTCTGAGAGGCACCCCAGTGATCTTAGAGCAGGTATTCAAAATGGCTTGGAGGTCGTTCCTGTTCTTGACAGAGAGGGATGTGAACCAGCATTTGAAAGAGAAACACAGGATGCTCTTGATGAAAGAACTGTAAAAGGTTTGCAATACTGATTTGTGGACACTAAATGTGTTCAGTTTCCTGAGGAAGTATTGTCTTTGGTAGGCTTTTTTGATGATGGTGTCTGTGTTTTGTTCAAACTTCAGGGTATTATCAAAGATGGTACCAAGATATTTATACTGGTCCACAATGTCCACCTCCTCACCATGGATGATCACTGGGTCCATTCTGGGGGGCTTCCTCCTGAAGTCAACCTCTCACTTTCAGTTATTTGAAAAGGAAATAATCTCCCAAATGTCACTATTTCTAAAACAAGCCATAGAAAGTTGGTTGCAATTTCAATTGAATCCTCCAGAAACGACAGAACAAATAATGCAACAAATATTGTGGTTAAATTCAAATATACTAATTGACAAAAAACCTTTATTTTTTGACAGAATGTTTAAAAAAGGTATAATCTTCGTAAATGATATCATCGGTAGGACTGGTGGAGTTATGTCGCATATGCAGCTAACAAAAACATATGGAAATGTCTGCTCTACCCAAAATAACAACCAAATAATTGCAGCCTTACCGCAAAAGTGGAAGAGGAAAGTGGAAGGGGGAGAAAGTAAGGAACTTGTCTGTCGGCCTTGCATTAAAGTACATAATTGGTTAAGGAAAACTGTGATAAATAAAAAAGTATATCAGTTTCACTTAAGGACCAAAGGATTGACAGCCGTCCCATATAGATTGCAAAATAGTTGGGAAGAGATCTTTGACGTACCGATCCCATGGCATAGTGTTTATGAACTGACACGCAAAACGACACCGGATTCAAAAATTTGAATCTTTCAATTTAAATTATTATATAAAATTCTTGCTACCAATAGAATGTTATTTATATGGGGGATACAATCTTCCCAGCTCTGCAGATTTTGCTGTGAAGAGACAGAATCATTAGATCATTTGTTTTGGTACTGTCCATTTGTAGCTTGTTTTTGGACACAGGTCCAGGAATGGACTGGAATGCAATATTTACCTGGAACTAACCTTGCAGATAGCATTACTGGGTGATCTGAAAAGTCATAGTCAATCAATCAATAATATAATAATACTTTTAGCAAAAATGTTTATTTCTAATTCACAATCTGTAGAAGCAATGAGAATAGAAAGGTTCAGAACTTTTGTAAAACATCACAGTACGGTTGAAATATATATGGCAAATAGAAATCCTATATGGATGGTGTTAAGAGATAGATGGGAGGTATTGAATAGAGTTGAAGGATGGGACTAATAACAAATAACAACAAATAATAACAAAGATAGCTAATAATGTAAGCACACTGTGTCCATAATAAGTTTATAGGTTGTATGTTGGGAGCTTTTGGGAAAGAGCACAGTTAGAAAGATATGGCATATAGAAGCAAACCGGATGGACATCATGAAAATGATCGGAGAGGTTGAGAGTAGAATAAGTTCAGGAGCAAAAAATAAATAAAATATATATAATAGAATTATTGTAAAATTAACTCTGTCCATAAGGTGTAGATAGTAAGTATAGACCGGAAGTAGAGGCCTGGGCATTGTTGTTCACTAATTTACTCCAAGTAGGGAAAGGATGGTGGGGTTGAAAAGTAATAAAGGGGAATATATATATAAAAAACATGGGGGATTGGAAGTGATGCAGACAATTACATTGATAGAAGATACAATCTATCTGCAATATTAAGCTGATCCATTCCCCCCCAAGAAAAATAAATAAAAATAAATAAAATAAGGTATTCACAATGGCTTGGAGGTCATTCCTGTTCTTGACAGAGAGGGTTGTGAACCAGCATTTGAAAGAGAAACACAGGATGCTCTTGATGAAAGAACTGTAAAAGGTTTGCAATACTGATTTGTGGACACTAAATGTGTTCCGTTTCCTGAGGAAGTATTGTCTTTGGTAGGCTTTTTTGATGATGGTGTCTGTGTTTTGTTCAAACTTCAGGGTATTATCAAAGATGGTACCAAGATATGTATACTGGTCCACAATGTCCACCTCCTCACCATGGATGATCACTGGGTCCATTCTGGGGGGCTTCCTCCTGAAGTCAACAACCATTTCCTTCGTCTTGGAGACATTCAACTCCAGCAGTGCACTGTCACACCAGTTAATTAAGTTCTGAAGGGCTGTGCCGTGGTCCTGCATAGACCCTGAGAGGAGTTAGAGGACTGTGTCATTGGCAAACGTCACAAGATGGCGTTGGGCATGGGCACTCTGACAGTCATTGGTGTAGAGAATAAAAAGGAGGGGCGACAGTACACACCCTTGTGGTGAACCTGTGCAAGTGAGTAGGGTGTCTGACATGGCACCATTAACAGACTCTCTGTGGCCTGTCAGTTAAAAAATACATAATCCATGAGATAAGGCCATGGTCGAGATTGAACTGAGTCAAGTTTTCTGGTGAAGTTGGCCGGCTGCATGGTGTTAAATGCAGACGAAAAGTCCACAAATAGGAGCCTGACAAAGGCCCTCCTGTTCTCCAGATGGCTGTCGATGGTATCCATTAAAAACAGCTTGGCGTCGTCAACACCTCTCTTTGAGCGATACATGAACTACAGGTGATCCAGCAGAGCAGGAAGTGCCTTCAATGGGTGTTATAGGGGCTATTTCGAAGGGTTAAAAATGTCAAATCTTTCCAAAATGTCATATGTGTCGTTTGGCGACCGTCATTAACTGGCACAGATGTGAAAACCAGGTGTTTGAGGGTTTTTTGCCCTTTTTGGAAGACTTCCAAATTCAATCTAGGTAAGGGTATTTATCCATATGTAGTCAATGAAACTCTTCAAGCCTTTAGGGTTGTCTGAATTGACATTTTCCCCAGATTATTGTTGGGGGGGCATCTAAGGGGTAATATATGTGAAGATCAGCTGTCTCTGAAGTTGTCGGGTCAAGATTTTGACTGTCAGTAGGATAACAGCTCGCAATGGGTTGATTGACTACAGAGAGGGATGGGGGGGCAAACAGAGTGGAATTTTACACCAGGGGTGTCAACAGAATTCACACCAGAATATTTTTTTAAACATTGCAATATGCTCAACTCTTGCCTGTTTTTCAGATGTCATCACAAAGGTCTTGCAGTGTATAAGCCTAACACCCATTGAGTGAGGTGGCAAGACATTTCAAAGGGGGGAATTTCCCACTTTTTTCTTCAGATACTTGTCTGCAGTGATTAAACGAGTCACATGTTGAAACCAGGTGTTTCTGAGCCTTTTTTAGCCCTTTTTATGAAGACTTCCAAATTTAATCTAAGTAAGGGTATGTATCCATATGTAGTCTATAAACCCTTCAAGCCATTGGGTGGATTTCTCTGGGGGGTTTTCACTCAAACGTGTGTGTGGAGATGCATATGTGAGTCTCGGGCCAATCAGAAGGCTTGCCCCTGGACACTTGTAACTTCAGTGGGTGGCTGAGCGTGGCACTGCCAACAGCATACTTGAGTATTGGGCCAATCGCAGCATCAATATATTACAAATGGCCATTATAAAGCACATAAACGAGATGGCCGTGGCCACTCCATCAGCATACTTGAGTCTTTGGCCAATCGTTGAATATATATTAGAATTGGCCTTATAAATTCCTTCTGCCAATCAGAGCAATGAAAGATTAGACTTGGATCTTAGTCCTTACTAGGTCCAGAAAGTGTATAGGACACGCCCCCAGACACCCCCCCCCCCCCCTCCCCCCCAGACTTCTTGGCCAATCAGAGCATCCATGGATTACACTTGGCATTGGACCCTTACTAAGTCCATCCCTACACCTACTATTTGCTGGAGGACTGAGTGGAGTGCCCCCTAGAGGTAAAAACAGCATGTCCAATTTGAAATTGGACTTCTATATTGGTGGAGTAAGACTACATTTATGTTAAGCACAGGCCTGGATGTGACATCCAAAAGCCCATTTTGCCAGCCATTTCCACATCTACTTAATGTTTAAAAAATGGCTCTAAAAGCCCTAACTCTGGTTTGCTTTGGAAAGGAGGTTCAAGCCTCAATAAAAAACCAGTGTTAAAAAATGCAGTGACGATAGGTTTCTTTTCGCTTTGAACCACAGAGTGAAGCCTGTTACATCAAAGCAGCATTTCCACAAATCCTGGAGCTTCTGAACACACACTTCAAGTATGTCAGAAAATCGGACAATGGGCGCTATGTCAAAGCCCTGAAAAAGGTCATATATGACCTCTACTCCCAAAACTGTATACCTGAAATCAACGAGGAGATTGAGGTGAGTGCTACTTACTTATGAGCTTTGCTACTCTAGTCCAGGAACAGTCTCTTCCAAAGGTGTGTTGGATTGTGCCAAGGCGAAGAAGTGCCAGAATTAAACTTCTATTGATGGAAGCATAAATAACCTCTCAGAAATAAACAAAGTTAAGCAGGGCTTGGGAGGTTGGAACATGCAGTGGCAGCCTTATTAAACGGGACCATTTTAAAAGTACCCAATAATGGTAAACTATTTTGATGCATTCAGTGAATTAGCATTCCACTGGGAATCCTCCACACACTGTAGTTTATGGACTACATAAGCATTTGTCCTCATTTCTAATAGGACACGGTAACTGTAAACACATTGATAATTACAATATGGCTTGTTACTTTGATATATGTTCTCTAAATATGTTAAGCTGTTCAGTGGTCATGGTCGTTAAATAGATAAAATAGATAGGATAAAGATACCATCAATTGAACTTAAATTGAAGTTACAGAAATACGACAAAGAAAGTCACCATGTGTTCAATTCTAAATGTTCAATTTAGAATACAATTCTTTCTTCAAGGAGACTGCCACCTCAGATATGGCAGGTTAATAGAATATGTTTGAGATTACGCCAAAAATGTGATCTGAATTACGTTGGGCAGGGCAGACTCCAGGAGATGGTTATGCACTGCACAGCACCCACCGTGCATAACATTTACACTGCAGACAACAAAAAGCCAGTAAGTCTGGGCTAATCATCTTCTGTCTATATTAGATTAGTGTCAGATTAATGTCAGAGATGGGACTGGTGCCCCAGTATGTTTCTGGGTACCCTGTGACGCTGGTATAGGTAATGGTCCCTCTTCAATAGACCTTTGTCTCTTAAATGGTTTTGTTTTTTTCATTAGTCCACTGTTAATACAGTCCCAGAAATGTTTTTCATGTCAGCAGTCAAGTTAAGATATTGGACTTTCAAGTGTCACTTGCCACATCATCATGATGATGCAAAATGCATCATATGATGTAAAACACATCATGACGATGTGGCAAGTGACACTTTGCTTCTTGAAAATCCTATGTCTTGAAAATTGGACTGCTGGCAGGCGAAGCGAGAGGATTTACTCTGCCTAAAATCTGTCCAAGAAAATAAAACCACAAAGTGAATAATTTTGTATGGAGGTCAATTAGTGTTGAATTTGGTCAACAACTAAATTTACAAGTTAGGTTGTTACGAATGCACTGATATAAGTGTCATTTCGGCAACTTAACAAAATACAACTTTATATCGGAGTTGGGCCTGTTTTCACACACTCATCTGCCCTCTCATTGGATAGAATTGTCCCACCAAATCTCGCCTCCCCCGCTTGCCTTCCATGTATTTCCATAAGAGTGGTCACTTGACTATCTTGTCAATATAATGGATAATCTTTGCTGCTGACATGCCAAACATTTTGGAACTGTATCAACAGTGGACCAAAGGAAAAAATGCCAAAAGATAGTTTTTGAGTTAACTTTTCCTTTATTAAGGAAACCCCTTGTCCAACATCTTCACTGTGAAGTTTGGGCTAGCTACAGTAAATGTGAATGGCTCTCGACTTTTTACTACCCTCAGACTGAAAGGGCAAGGGAGGCTTCCACAGACAGACCAGCAGGGAGAGGAGCAGCAGGCTCACCCCACGGTCCCGTCACTGTTGCTGGGCCCAAGCTGGTCACACCTGTCCCTTTCAAATATTAAATTAACCCCTATACAAAACAAATTCCTTGACCCAATCAGAGTCAATCAGAGTATAATTTCTCAGTTGATTTCCTGCAATCCAAAAAATATTTTGAAATACTTTTAGAGATCTTTACAAAACCCTTTCAAACGTTTAAATACTCTAAGACTTAAGCCAAGATTTCATGTTGTGAGAATACTGTATATAATGATCTACAATAGCCTGCTTCTCTGGCAGCCCTTCACAGAGATCTGAGTTTTCATCATTAGAAAAATTCATTACGCATGAGGTATTATTCAATAAGTGCCATTGAAAACCACTTGAAAGTGTTTCAGGATGTTTTGAATTGTTAGTAGGGAATTAATGTGACCTGTTCTGTCTCCTCTCTCCCTCTCTCCTTTTGTCCGTGTCAAAGGACAACCCAGTGAAGTTTGTCAAAATGCAAAGCACCTCGCCCAGAGAGGCTCTGACGAAAGCCCGGGGGGTCATTGAGATGTACTTAACCCTGTTGAACAAGAGCAACGGGCCCATCGACTGGAACTGCGAGGAAGAGTACGCCGAGGATTACCTAGAATCCACCACCCCCACCACAGGTAGCAGGAGATATACAATAATTATGATAATATCCATTAAAAGAGATAGTTAGTCATTTTGTAGAGTTTTACTGGTGGTTTCAGTGTCACGCCCTGACTCAGGGGACGCTTATATGTTGAGTCAGGGTGTGTATATTCCTTGTTGTGCTTGTTCTATGTATGAGGATCTAGTATGTCTAGTTCTATGTTGGCCGGTGTGGTTCCCAATCAGAGGCAGCTGTCGCTCGTTGTCTCTGATTGGGGACCATACTTAAGCAGCCTATTGGCACTGTCTAGTTGTGGGATCTTGTTCCGTGTAAGGTTTGTTGTTCTGTACTACCTTGGACTTCACGTTTCGTTTCCTTTGTTGTTTTGTCGTGTTGTTTATTACGTTAATAAACATGTACGCATATCATACTGCGCCTTGGTCTGTGAAGATCCCACCAAACGAGGTCCAAGCAGCGTGCCCAGGCGGAGCGAATAGCCATGTCACAGGTGGGAAAATTGTGGTCATGGGAAGAGATATTTGCGGGGAGAGGACCATGGGCTAAGGTAGATGCACAGGCAGGAGAGGTGCAACGGCAACACGGGGGAGGCCGGTCGAGGAGGAAGCCCGAGAAGCAGCCCCAATAAAAAAAAATTTGGGGGCACACAGGGTGGTTGGCGGAGCCTAGTGTCAGAGCAGAGCCAACTCCCCGTACTCACGCGAGGAAGCGTATGACTGGGCAGGCTCCGTGTTATGCGGAGCTACGTACTGTGTCGCCAGTGCGCAGGCACAGTCCTGTACGTCCTGTGCTTGCACCACGCACGTGCCGTGCGAAGATGGGCATCCAGCCAGGACGGGGTGTGTCGGCTCAACGCTCCTGGTCTCCAGTACGCTTCCTCGGTCCCACATATCCTGCGCCAGTTCTACGAACTGTATCGCCAGTGCGCGTGCACAGCCCAGTGCGTCCTGTGCTGATACCTCAAACATACTGTGCGGAAGTAGGCATTGAGCCAGGACGGGTTGTGCCAGCTCTCCGCTCCAGACCTCCAGTCCGCCTCCACAGTCCGGCCCGGCCTGTTCCTGCTCCTGGCACCAAGCCAGTGGTGCGCGTCGCCAGCCCGGCCCGGCCTGTTCCTGCTCCTCGCACCAAGCCAGTGGTGCGCGTCGCCAGTCCGGCCCGGCCCGTTCCTGCTCCTCGCACCAAGCCAGTGGTGCGCGTCACCAGTCCGGCCCGGCCCGTTCCTGCTCCTCGCACCAAGCCAGTGGTGCGCGTCGCCAGTCCGGCCCGGCCCGTTCCTGCTCCTCGCACCAAGCCAGTGGTGCGCGTCGCCAGCCCGGCCCGGCCCGTTCCTGCTCCTCGCACCAAGGAAGTGGTGCGCGTCGCCAGCCCGGCCCTGTCCGTTCCTGCTCCTCGCACCAAGGCAGTGGTGCGCATCGCCAGCCCGGCCTGGCCCGTTCCTGCTCCTCGCACCAAGCCAGTGGTGAACGTCGCCAGTCCGGCCCCGCCTGTTCCTGCTCCTCGCACCAAGCCAGTGGTGTGCGTCGCCAGTCCGGTCCGGCCTGTTCCTGCTCCTCGCACCAAGCCAGTGGTGCGCGTCGCCAGTCCGGCCCGGCCCGTTCCTGCTCCTCGCACCAGAACAGTGGTGCGCGTCGCCAGTCTGGCCCGGCCTGTTCCTGCTCCTCGCACCAAGCCAGTGGTGCGTGTCGCCAGTCCGGCCCGGCCCGTTCCTGCCCCTCGCACCAAGACAGTGGTGCGTGTTCCTAGTCCGGTCCAGCCCGTGCCTGCTCCTCGCACCAGACCAGTGGTGCGTTTCTCCAGTCCGGCGCGGCCCGTTCCACCGGTGCCTGGTCCGGTGCCTGATCCAGTTCCGGTCAGCCGTTCCACTCCGGAGCCAGAGCAGTCCGCTCCACCGGTGCCTGATCCAGCTCCGGTCAGCGGCTCCACTCCGGAGCCAAAGCAGTCCGCTCCACCGGTGCCTAGTCCGGCTCCGGTCAGTGGCTCCAGTCCAGACCATGACGTCAGCCCCTCTCCAGGTTCGGGGTCTCCCACACCAGGGTCCAGACAGGGCCTGGCGTATCGTGGGAGGAAGGAGAGGGGAAGCAACGCGCCGAGGTCTAGACCAGACCAGGGGCGCAACAGGGAGGCGGAGAATGAGAGGTCGTCACGCCCCGAGCCGGATCTGCCTCCGAGGCGAAATGCCCACCCGGCCCCTACCCTGTTATGTTTATGTTGTGCGGTCGGAGTCCGCACCTTTGGGGGGGGGTACTGTCACGCCCTGACTCAGGGGACGCTTACAGTGGGGGGAAAAAGTATTTAGTCAGCCACCAATTGTGCAAGTTCTCCCACTTAAAAATATGAGAGAGGCCTGTAATTTTCATCATAGGTACACGTCAACTATGACAGACAAATTGAGAAACAAAAATCCAGAAAATCACATTGTAAGATTTTTTATGAATTTATTTGCAAATTATGGTGGAAAATAAGTATTTGGTCACCTACAAACAAGCAATATTTCTGGCTCTCACAGACCTGTAACTTGTTCTTTAAGAGGCTCCTCTGTCCTCCACTCGTTACCTGTATGTGATTTTCAGGATTTTTCTTTCTCAATTTGTCGGTCATAGTTGACGTGTACCTATGATGAAAATTACAGGCCTCTCTCATCTTTTTAAGTGGGAGAACTTGCACAATTGGTGGCTGACTAAATACTTTTTTCCCCACTGTATATGTTGAGTCAGGGTGTGTATATTCATTGTTGTGCTTGTTCTATGTATGAGGATCTAGTATGTCTAGTTCTATGTTGGCCGGTGTGGTTCCCAATCAGAGGCAGCTGTCACTCGTTGTCTCTGATTGGGGCCAATACTTAAGCAGCCTATTGGCACTGTCTAGTTGTGGGATCTTGTTCCGTGTAAGGTTTGTTGTTCTGTACTACCTTGGACTTCACGTTTCGTTTCCTTTGCAGGTTTGTCGTGTTTTTTATTACGTTAATAAACATGTACGCATATCACACTGCGCCTTGGTCTGACCCGTCATTAAACGAACGTGACATTCAGTCTCCCATAACTACCACAGACTTTATTGATTGTTATTGCTGTTTGTCTCCCGTAGTGGAATCTTTTATGAGCATAGGCTGGAAGGATCATCTTTCATTTGGATGTGTTAGCTTCCATGTTATAAGGAAAATAACATTATATCCCATATAAAAACTAGTCAATACCTAAATTACCACCAGAAAATCTGGAAAACACACACCTAAACAATGCCTATTTTTACAAATCCAGCAATGCTCCTGGAAATGATTAAGAGTTTCTGTGGCTTGCGAAAGGATTCACCCCCCCCCCCCCCCCCCCCCCCCCCCCCCCCCCCCCCCCCCCCTTGGCATTTTATCTATTTTGTTGCCTTACAACCTGGAATTAAAATTGATTTTTGGGGGGTTTGTATATCTGATTTACACAACATGCCTAACACTTTGAAGATGCAAAATATGTTTTCTTGTGAACAAACAAGAAATAATACAACAAAAAAACAGAAAACTTGAGCGTGCATAACTATTCACCCCCCCAAAGTCAATACTTTGTAGAGCCACCTTTTGCAGCAATTACAGATGCAAGTCTCTTGGGGTATGTCTCTATAAGCTTGGCACATCTAGCCACTATGATTTTTTCCCATTCTTCAAGGTAAAACTGCTACAGCTCCTTCAAGTTGGATGGGTTCTGCTGGTATACAGCAATCTTTAAGTCATACCACAATTCTCAATTGGATTGAGGTCTGGGCTTTGACTAGGCCATTCCAAAACATTTAAATGTTTCCCCTTAAACCACTCAAGTGTTGCTTTAGCAGTATGCTTAGGGTCATTGTTCTGCTGGAAGCTGAACCTCCGTCCCAGTATCAAATCTCTGGAAGACTGAAACAGGTTTCCCTCAAGAATTTCCCTGTATTTAGCGCCATCCATCATTAATTCAATTCTGACCAGTTTCCCAGTCCCTGCCGATGAAAAACATCCCCACAGCATGATGCTGCCACCACCATGCTTCACTGTGGGGATGGTGTTCTCGGGGTGATGAGAGGAGTTGGGTTTGCGCCAGACATAGCGTTTTCCTTGATGTCCAAAAAGCTCAATTTTAGTCACATCTGACCAGAGTACCTTCTTCCATATGTTTGGGGAGTCTCCCACATGCCTTTTGGCGAACACCGAACGTGTTTGCTTATTTCTTTCTTTAAGCAATGGCTTTTTTCTGGCCACTCTTCCATAAAGCCCAGCTCTGTGGAGTGTACGGCTTAAAGTGGTCCTATGGACAGATACTCCAATCTCCGCTGTGGAGCTTTGCAGCTCCTTCAGGGTTATCTTTGGTCTCTTTGTTGACTCTCTGATTAATTCCCTCCTTGCCTGGTCCGTGAGTTTTGGCAGGTTTGTTGTGGTGCCATATTATTTCCATTTTTAAATAATGGATTTAATGGTGCTCCGTGGGATGTTAAAAGTTTCAGATATTTTTTTCATTTCACTTGACTATTTTGTGTATGTCCATTACATGAAATCCAAATAAAAATCAACTTAATTTACAGGTTGTAATGCAGCAAATTAGGAAAAACACCGAGTGGGATGAATACTTTTGCAAGGCACTGTATATGTTTACTTTGCTGTTTCGCAACCAAACATCTGGCCACCCATGATTACTCCAAGCTGTTTTCAGACTGTTCTCTTAGTCTTATTTACCCTAACCATTCCCATGTTACATGTCCCTCTCCTCTGCCCTAGCTGAACCTGAACACAAGTGTGCATGTCCAACAGTGGGTCTGGTGACCCCTGATGTCTCCCTGGTGTCCCACAGCGTATGGAGCAGTCCCCCACAGCCCACCCTCTCCCAACTCAACACGATTGTGCCTCCCAGGCCGACTCACCTACCCCTGGGTACCAAGAGCGCTGAGCCCCAGGTGTTCCTTGCAAGTTCTGGTACCGTAAGACCTCCCTTCCCCGATGGACGTTCACTTGAAGGGGGCAGAGAGGGGGAGATACACTGGGACTTTCGTCCACCTTCACCCAATGGAACTGAGTCAGATTCTGCACTCTACCACACAGTTGCAAACCCCCATTCTGCCACGAACGACGCTTCCACATCTTCCCCTCCCAGTCTGATTCTCCTGGGGACCGTTGGCTCCCATGACGAGACTTTTTACTACCCCCAGACTGAGAAGACAAGAGAGGCTTCCACAGACAGATCAGCAGGGAGAGGAGCAGCAGGCTCACCCCACAGTCCCGTCGCTGTTGCTGGGGCCAAGCTGGTTACACCTGTCCCTTTCCTGTACAAGGTTATTGGCATCACCCCCAGTAGTGATGAGAGCACTGCCTATGTGTTGGCCAAGAGGTCGCTGGACGCCAGGAACTATGGAATACTTCAGGATGGGGTTTCAACAGAGACCCCTCAACTAGAGGACACTAGAGAAAAATATCCAGGCACAGAGAGATATTTACATGACTGGAACCCTCCGATTGAAAGCACTACGACCGAAGCATTTCCACATTTGAAGACGACAGCGGAGGAGCCAGACAAACTACACACCACTACAGAGGTACTGGACCAAGTAACGAAGACTGAGCCAAACCATAGCAGGACATCCTATGAGGATGTCTTCAGCACAGGTAAAGCAAAGAACCCTGTTTGATCTACTTTGTGTCCTCCTACTGATTCAAACTACACAAATTCACTTTCATAGAGATTTGCTTAGCACTTTATTTTACTGTACTGTTTCCACTAGTCTTTTTTTAAACATGTATTTATCCCCTTATTTTAAGAACTAAGCTACCTCCACACAGTAAATTAGGAAAGTATTCAGACCCCTTGACTTTTTCCAAATGTTGTTACATTAGTCTAATTCTAAAATGGATTGAATTGTTTTTTCCCCCTCATCAATCTACGCACAATACACCATAATTACAAAGCAAAAACAGGGTTTAATAAATGTTAGCAAATTTATGAGTAAAACAAAACAGTCAAAAGTTTGGACACACTCATTCAAGGGTTTTTCTTTATTTTGTTACATTGTATAATAATAGTCAAGACATCAAAACTATGAAATTACACACATGGAGTCATTTAGTAACCAAAAAGTGTTAAACAAATTCTTCAAATAGCCACCTTTTGCCTTGATGACAGCTTTGCACACTCTTGGCATTTTCTCAACCAGCTCCATGAGGTAGTCACCTGGAATGCATTTCAATTAACAGGTGTGCATTGTTAAAAGATAATTTGTGGAATTTATTTCCTTCTTAATGCGTTTTAGCCAATCAGTTGTGTTGTGTCAGGGTAGGGGTTATACAGAAGATAGCCCTATTTGGTAAAAGACCAAGTCCATATTATGACAAGAACAGCTCAAATAAGCAAAGAGAAAAGACAGTCCATCATTACTTTAAGACATGAAGGTCAGTCAATACGGAAACATTTCAAAAACTGGTTCTCATGAGGACCACCACAGGAATGGAAGACCCAGAGTTACCTCTTCTGCAGGGGATAAGTTCATTAGAGTTACCAGCCTCAGAAATTGCAGCCCAAATAAATACTTCACAGAGTTCAAGTAACAGACACATATCAACATCAACTGTTCAGAGGGGACTGTGTGAATCAGGCCTTCATGGTCGAATTGCTGCTAACAAACCACTACTAAGGGACACCAATAAGAAGAAGAGACCTACTTTGGGCCAAGAAACACGAGCAATGGACATTAGACAGGTGGAAATTTGTCCTTTGGTCTGGAGTCCAAATTGGAGATTTTTGGTTCAAACCGCCGTGTCTTTGTGAGACATGGTGTAGGTGAACGGATGATCTCTGCATGTGTAGTTCCCACCGTAAAGCATGGAGGAGGTGTTATGGTGTGGGGGTGCTTTGCTGGTGACATTGTCTGAGATTTATTTAGAATTCAAGGCACACTTAACCAGCATGGCTACCAAAGCGATACGTCATCCTGTCTGGTTTGGGCTTAGTGGGACTATCATTTGTTTTTCAACAGGACAATGACCCAACACACCTCCAGGCTGTGTAAGGGATATCTGACCAAGAAGGAGAGTGATAGAGTGCTACTTCAGATTACCTGGCCTCCACAATCCCCCAACGTCAACCCAATTGAGATGGTTTGGGATGAGTCGGAAGGTAGTGTGAAGGAAAAGCAGCCAACACGTGCTCAGCATATGTAGGAACTCCTTCAAGACTGTTGGAAAAGCATCCCAGGTGAAACTGGTTGAGAGAATGCCAAGAGTGTGCAGAGCTGTCATCAAGGCAAAGGGTGGCTATTTGAAGAATCTGAAATATAAAATATATTTTCATTTGTTTAACACTTCTATGGTTACTACATGATTCCATATGTGTTATTTCATAGTTTTGATGTCTTCACTATTATTCTACAATGTAAAAAACTGGTACTGTAAGTCCTCAGACCCTTTACTCAATACTTTGATGAAGCACCTTTGGCAGCGATTACAGCATCAAGTCTTCTTTGGTATACAAGCTTGGCAAACCTGTATTTGTGGAGTTTCTCCCATTGTTCTGTGCAGATCGTCTCAAGCTCTGTCAGGTTGAATGGGGAGCGTCACTGCATAGGTATTTTCAGGTCTCTCCAGAGATGTTCGATCGGGTCCAAGTCCGTGCTCTAGCTGGGCCACTCAAGGACATTCAGAGACTTGTCCCAAAGCCACTCCTGCATTGTCTTGGCTTTGTGCTTAGGGTCCTTGTCCTGTTGGAAGGTGAACCTTCAACCCAGTCTGAGGCCATGCTTCACCGTAGGGATGGTGCCAGGTTTCCTCCAGACGTGACAATTGATTTTCAGGCCAAACAGTTCAATCTTGGTTTCATCAGTCCAGAGAATCTTGTTTCTCATGGTCTGAGAGTCATTTAGGTGCCTTTAGGCAAATTCCAAGTGGGCTGTCATGTGCCTTTTACTGAGGAGTGGCTTCCGTCTGGCCACTCTACCATAAAGGCCTGATTGGTGGAGTGCTGCAGAGATAGTTGTCCTTCTGGAAGGTTCTCCCATCTCCACAGAGGAACTCTGGAGCTCTGTCAGAGTGACCATCGGGTTCTTGGTCACCTACCTGACCAAGGCCTTTCTCCCCCAATTGCTCAGTTTGGCCGTGCGGCCAGCTCTAGGAAGAGTCTTGGTGGTTCCAAACTTCTTACATTTAAGAATGATGAGGCCACTGTGTTCTTGGGGACCTTCAATGCTGCAGAAATGTTTGGTACCCTTCCCCAGATCAGTGCCTCGACACAATCCTGTATCGGAGCACTACGGACAATTCCTTTGACACCATGGCTTGGTTTTTGCTCTGACATGCACTGTCATCTAAGGGACCTTATATAGACAGGCATGTGCCTTTCCAAATCGTGTCCAACCAATTGAATTTACCACAGCTGGACTCCAATCAAGTTGTAGAAACATCTCAAGAATGATCAATGGAAACAGGATGCACTTGAGTTTAATTTCGAGTCTCATAGCAATGAGTCTGAATACTTATGTAAATATGGTAGTTTTTTCTGTTTTCGCTTTGTCATTATGGGGTATTGTGTGTAGATTGATGAGGAAAACATTTAATGTAATACATTTTAGAATTAGGCTGTAACGTAACAAAATGTGGAAAAAGTCAAGGGATCTGAATATTGTACTTCCATTCATTTTTTTATATTGTACCAGGGACCTTCAGACAAGTCTTTTGAAGCTTCTGGAGAACACCATCGTGTTTGTGGGAGTCTCAGCTTTCCACAGAGGGTCATATTAGTGTATAGGCCAAACCGTTCGAACGCTACAGACGTTTTCGTGAGATGACCAATTTTCGAGATGTCTCATTGTCTGACAAACAACGCTCTAGCTCTGCCACCTTTCACCGCTGATGTTGGAGGGCAATATCGGCGGATGAGGTGGATTGAGAATCCCCATGCAAAAATCCCCATGCAAAAAACAACAGATATCTCTAGTTTAAACAGACAGATTTTGATGGGGATTTTTTAATTATTTTAATTTAATAATTGTTTTAATGAAAATGAACAAACCAGCTATTACTTCCCTTGCAAATATATTTTATCACGTTCATCACACTAAGGGACAGAATTGTTACCTGGAGGAAAATGGGGGAGGGTCATGCTTTTTCAATTTCAGTCAAGGGGAGGATTTGATATTTTTTCAATCTAGTCCAGGGGAGGGTCATGTAATTTGTAATTGATGAAATTTCAATATTTCTCAGTGTTTTAGAACTAGTTGGTTATTAGGCTATATATCAATGTGTGCCCGATGCCGCCCCTCATCTTAGATTCTCCGCTGGGCACGCAATATCAATTTCGCCTATAGGCTATTTATTGTGGTCTCAATCAAATGATCCATAGCCTATAGGCTATGAAGTGCATGCTCCGATAAGCACAGAGGAAGTTTATATTTCTAAGATAGCTGCTGGGATGGTGTAAATAAAACTAGGCTGCATTTCACACTGCAATGGATATTCCAACCCTGAGCCCTGGCCTGCTCTGCTCTTACTGATCAAAAACTTTGTTGTGTGCTGCTTAACCAATGGCTGTGCTGTGTAGGCCTACGGTGGCAGTTCAGGAGGAGAGTCAAAGGTTTCTTCCGAAAGTACTTTTTGATTAGGCCTAATCCAGAAATGCACCATCTTGCGTGCGGACTAGCCTATATATATTCTGTTCAGTTTGAGACGGATAGCGCGAAGATAAAGAGGACCGAAGGTCAACTTTGATAGCTTGCTACTACTATAATATATTTTATTAAATACAATATGTTTCTTGCCGAGGATGTATTTATCAGAATTATTGACCTCACAATAAGCCAGATTCTAGTAATTTACGTTGTGGTGCTGAAACTTGAAGCAGCAGCTGCGGCACAATCAATCAGAAATTGACAGCTGGTGCTGAAAGTAGGCAAATTCGAGTAGGCATAATTCATTTCAACAGTCTTCATTTGAATTAGACTAACAACAAGAAGGCTTTGTGTTGGATAATATTTATTTATATTTAAGAAAGAACAGGTAGGCCTACCATAAAGGCCGACCTGTTTTTGTCAGTCAATTCCTCTGCCCACCATGCACTCTTTAAATAGCCTACCTCCATGTCAGTGAAGGGCTGTTAAGTTAAAACCAAGACTCGAATTGAGGGGGTATGCCATAGGCCACCTTATCAAAAGAAAATGGCAAAAAGCACAGTCCTACCCCTCGTTGCGTTAAGCCTTGGAAAAAGAGTAGCCAGCAGTTAAAGCTTACATTTTTCTGCGCCGGTAGGCCTACTCTGTCTGGGGTGGAAAAATAGGCCTAACTTTTGAAAGTACCATGCTCGGATTCCTAATGACGTCCCGGATTTAATTATTTGCAAACAGGGGCAGTTTTGTTGTAAACAAGACACTCTGATTTGGCATTGGAGAAATATGATAAGATGAACACATAGGCCTATCTCTATGTCCATTCTTAGCCTGTAATTTTGGTAATTTGTGTGGTATTAAAAAAAAGATTCAGCTAATATGTAAAATGAAACAGAATTGCATGACATTTTTATAAAAGGCTATTTTTTCTCAGACCTGCAAATAACATGATAGATTCATGCAATGCTTTTACTATAAAGGAGATCTTTCCAGCCCTACTATTGTCCACGGTGGTCTGCGAACACACAACCTTCTGGCCTGTAGCCCTGTGCACTATCAAAATTCCTGCGTTGCCATAAAATGCTTACAGGACGAAGAACAGTTTCTAAAACTGCATATCTAAGGCGCTGGTCTGTCCAGGAAGTGAAGGTAAACGGTAGCCATGTTCTCTGCTATCCACTTTTTATTATTATTTTGGGTATAGGGGAGGGTCACTTGTTTTTTTTCAAGCATTTAGGGAGGGCCATCCATTTTCATTTCAGTGAGGTACGATTTTCTCCATGTAACCCTTATTATAAATAATGTTCACTCCCTAACCAGTGATCTAAAGTTAAAATTATGTTTCATTATTTTCAAAGAGATCGCTAATAGCAAGTGAGCTGCAACAAAAAACAGTGCCACTCACCAGATGATGATCATTTGTAAACGAAGTTTGAATTAAGTGTGAAAGTTAATCTTGAAAAGGGTGATGCTAACAAATTAGTAACAACATCCACCTTGAAGATGATAACAGCTGCTGCAGCCACTGTCATCATTGTCACTCTACTACTACACAAGCTAGCTAACATTACTACCGTTAGCATGGGAAAACTACTGCTTGCGCCACGAGAAGGCCTAGATACGTCCCTTTGCAAGTCAAAGGTCCCACCCATTGCAAGTCAAAATGTGATTGGTTCACTCCACTGTCACTCCAAAATTCTGCTCTAATACAGTTTAATCAAAGACAGTACAGTATGAAGCTAAAACTGCTTCTACAATAGAATCCCCTATCACACTTAGACAATGTCATGGCAATGTTGGCTAGCAAAGATCATGCGTACTAGAAACACTTAATCGGGTCTACTAACGGTCGTCTCTCGCCAAACTGCCATGTGCAAGCCGTCAAATCAAAAGGCACTCCTTCGATATGTGTCAGTTTGTCACTTTCATGGGGTTGGAGTAATAACATGTTTAACTACTTAAGACTGGCTCAAATCTAGGTTGTGCTTTTAGATTGAGAAAATGTATAACTAAGGCATAATTTTTCACTTCTCGAAGCCCAAACCCCGGCCTTTGGTTGGTTTCGCTCGCGATGTTGCACCTCTGGGTTTAGGAACTCTGTTGTTGAATGGCAGAGGCCTTCTGTCCAGCTTCTGAAGACCAAGCCAATGGCTGGCTGAGCTAGCTAGATTGTTCTACCCAGAGACCACCAAAGAAAATCCTGATTAGATATTCTTTTATTTTCAGCATTAACCCTTCTCTTTCCAACACAAACTGAATAGATAAAATCAGAAGATCATTAAAAGTATTGTAAAGATTATTAACATTTTGTTTTAAATTGTATAAATGTATAAATTTTTTGGTCTTCTCTGAAGGCCTAGAAGGCCCTCACGGTTCCCCACTGCACTTTGTACTATCAAATAAACTGCCCTTGAGCTTTGAATTAAGATTCCCTCTCTAAACAATGGCTCATGTTCTTCCTCATTGTCCCTCAGATATCCTGTCAGAGAGGACAGATGTGGACGATGCTCCTCCAGAAAGGCCCAGTGAAGGCTCAGAGAAGGAATTCCGGAATGGGAAAACTGGTCATTCCGATTCAAGCATCTCCTACCAGACAGCCTTTATCATTGCAGCCGTGTGTGGTGGACTACTCCTGATCAAAACCCTATTCTGTCTCAGTGAGAAGAAGGTAAGATAGATCACACACTGAACAAGCAATGGCGGTGCTCAACTAAGCTATACCCCCCTGTACCAACAAGCTGTGAGACAACTATACTGAACAGAAATAAACGCAACATGCAACAATTTCAAAGATTTTACTGAGTTACAGTTCATATAGGGAAATCAGTCAATTGAAATCAATTCATTAGGCCCTAATATATGGATTTCACATGACTGGGAATACAGATATGAATTTGTTGGTCACAGATACCTTCAAGAAAAAGTAGGGGTGTGGATCAAAAAAACAGTCAGTATCTGTTGTGACCACCATTTGTCTTATGCAGTGCAGTGGGGCCGTGCATTATCATGCTGAAACATGAGGTGATGACGGCGGATGAATGGCAAGACAATGAGCCTCAGGATCTCGTCACGGTATCTCTGTGTATTCAAATTGTCATCGATAAAATGCACTTGTGTTCATTGTCCGTAGTTTATGCCTACCCATACCATAACCCCACCATGGGGCACTATGTTCACAACGTTGATATCAGCAAACCGCTCGCCCACACTACACCATACACATGGTCTGCGGTTGTGAGGCTGGTTGGGCGTACTGACAAATTCTCTAAAACGACGTTGGAGGCAGCTTATGGTAGAGAAATTAACATTAAATTATCTGGCAACAGCTCTGGTGGACATTCCTGCAGTCAGCATGCCAATTGCACACTCCCTCAAAACTTGAGTCATCTGTGGCATTGTGTTGTGTGACAAAACTGCACAATTTAGAGTGGCCTTTTATTGTCCCCAGCACAAGGTGCACCTGTGTAATGATCATGCCGTTTATATCAGCTTCTTGAAATGCCACACCTATCAGGTGGATGGATTATCTTGGCAAAGGAGAAAATGCTCAATAACAGGGATATAAACAAATTTGAGAGAAATAAGCTTTTTGTGCGTATGAAACATGGGACCAACACTTTACATGTTGCGTGTATATTTTTGTTCAGTGGTAGTTTACATCTACCTCTAACAGTAGGGAGAAACCATGCTAACCCTTCCCTCTCTAATTCCTACATGAAAATCTAATAACTATTTTTTTTTCAGAGACTCCGAGCCCTTCTCCACAGTACCAGCATAATTGAAACCCAGAGGTACATTTATTTAATTATATCCTTAAATGTCATGGTGGTAAAAACAGAAAACTTAAAAGACAATGGAGTCCTTTGAAGACTATTTACACTAATCAGTGCGGCACTATTGCTAGGCAACAATAACCACAACACAAATATTCGGACATGGTATTGGTGCGGTCAATAGCTACAGAAATCGTCAGGTGATGAACTCATTGTTTTGGCTCAAGATCATTTACAACTTATAAATCAACTCCAACTCAGTCATATTGATTTTTCCTCAAAAGTTATCTGGAAACCTACAATATAGGCTATATAAATGTTAGACAGCAGCAACATTTATTTGTATGTTCAGTGTTGTCCTAGTGATCATGGTGTCCTTCCCCATGTTCAGATCAATTAATGTATTGTTCCAGATAATTGATTAGGATAAAACTGCAGCAATTGTCTGTTTAAAAAACAAACTTAGGTAGCCTATATTTACATAATGATCACGATACCTCACCCTTACAATGCCATTGACTAGTCTGCACTGAAACCTAACCCGTGTAATATGTTTCACAGGGCATGCAGCAGCATTGAGGATGTTGAGCTACAGTATTATAAAGCCAAGGAGTGAGAGAGCTGGTAAGAGCCACTACCCTTCCTTCCCACTTCTTCAGTGAGAGTGAAATGCAAAATGATTTATGGATGTCATTAGAGAACATCTGAAGAGTTTCATTCCAAAACGCTATATATCAATTTTCATAAATATTGGTAAACTAGGTTTTATTGATTGATGGTTTCATTTCAGAGAGACAAATAATCTGTTTTTTGCTAAATGCTATCCACCTCACTCTCAGAGAAATCAGTAGTACTGCTAGGTTTTACACAGTCAAATGTAACAAATAACTACATGTTGTACAAATGATACATTGTACAAATTATACATTTGTGACATCAATATTTAAAAAGGCTGTAAAAAGATTCAATACAGTATGAGATCTGCATGTAAAACATTTACATTTGACATTTTGAGAGCTTGGGACTATAAGGTTTTATCTGGAAAAAGATTATTCTGAGACAATTTATCTTGTATTGTTTTGAACTTAACAACATGAATTGGGGTATTTAGAGTACTATATAAGACAGAGAACATTGAACAGAACAAGGCAATGTCAATAACTTAATTTGGACAAAAATGCAGATAGAACCTCTCGATTTGAGTCATTTAGCAGATGCTCTTATCCAGAGCGATAGATAGGTGAGCCTATCACTATCACAGTCAAATATACAGATATACGAACATTCCATTTCAGCTAAACAATGGATATATAGTGTTTAAAATATATCATACACATCTAAAATCTATTAATTAAAACGTTTTTGAGAACAGTTATATTTTACACACACAAAGCAATAATTTCAGATTTACAAAACACAAATGTGAAAGATTTGTGGAAATATAATCTTCAACTCTTATTCCTCTACAAGCCCTTAAAATGGCCAGGGTCTGGTTTTGTTTTGAGCCTTTCATTTCAAATGGTATTTATTTGTCTCAATTACTGAAGAAGGGTATCTGGGATTGAAGCCCCATATTTGGGATTGAATGGACCGCTATTGAGATCTGAGGGTAACAGCGTAATAATATGACTAGGATCCTGTGTTTTGGATAATCATGTCACATGACCTGGATTCTAACCTTTTTTAAAGCTTTTTCATCCAACTGTCCCCTTTTCTTTATGTCAATTGGTCCAGCATCATCCTCAGACAATTCACTTCATTTTTTGTGTAATTCTCTTTCCTACAAAATGCTTAAAATAAAAGGTTACAATCTAGGTAATGTCACATGATAGCCCATAACCAGAGGTGTAAAGGAACTAATTACAACTACTCTCGTTGCTGTAATTGAGTAGCTTTTCTGAGTACTTGTACTTTTGAGTATTTTTCAAAGTCAGTAATTTTACTTCTACTTGAGTAAAATGTCATTAAAGTACTTTACATTTTTCAATTTATTGCATGGAAAAGCTAATGTGTTGCAACATTCAGTTAACCTTAATGTTTTTGTTTAAACTCATTTACTTTTACTCTGAGTAACATCTCTCTCTCTCTCTCTCTGTCTCTCTCTCTATCTGCAGGATTGGTTTTACCTGCCAGTAAGAGACCAACAACCACGTAATTCGTTAAACATGTGGAAGACATGGAAATTTGGCAACTATTTTCCTCATGTTAAAGTTTATCGTTTTTTTATATAAATATCAACAAATGTCTAAAGGTACCTATTTTTATACAAATTAAGTTTATATTGCTTGAAAGATTTAACAGAGAATCTAATGCTCTCAAAGTTATACAATATCTGCCTGCTTCCCTTTCTACTGTCAAAAAGGTTTGAGTGAATTGATCTGTTAGACACAGCGGTAACTTGACTCTCAAAGACTGTTTGGACGGTGTCATGCACACCACACACAACTTTGATCTTCCATGACATAGAATGGACCAAACAATCCACCAAGGATTCTCCGTCACGGCAGGGGTTAACGACTTCACCCTAGCCTGTTTCTTTCACTGACACTCCCCTATCATCTTCCAACGTGACTGATAGCTCCTCAGAGTGAGACTCAGAGTTCTAGAGGGGAAGCACCCCCTTCTTTATTACAATGGCATCTGTGTTTTGACCAGCATATGTCTCCCAGTGGGGATAGTAGCCATTAGAGCAACAGTGCAAGTCAACATTAAACTAAATGAAGTCTTCCCATGTGACTGAAAGAGTCTCATGACATTGTTCAATGGAGTTGGGCCCTTGAGCCAAAGCAAGACCAGGTGTCATCACCTCAAGTGGACAGAGGATGTATTTTGGGGAATCAATAGATTAAATACAAACAGATAAAATACAAACAGAACACCCAAAGTTATTTGTTTTGAGTGTACACGCCATGCAGCATACTAGATTAATTTGACTTCTGATATTCTCTTGTTTTATCCCTACCAAATGAATATAAGGACCTGTCTCTCATGCCATGATGCCAATGAAAGTGTATGTTATAAAAAGGTAATTTGGATACTGGATGCTGATTGGTTGATAAGCATTAGTTATTCACGATAATCCACGACAAATGCCAGTTCCTTTTTAATTGTCACTTTGCATCCACTGTCCCACAGCTGAGAAAAGCAATTCATAAACATTATATCAAAGTAAAAGCATCTAGACATTATTTGCCAGCCTATCATTAGATTTTAAACAGAGGAGGTTTAAACATGCTTGTTTATTATTGCTTGAAATGTTTTCGAACACAGAATCTTACGCTATTAAAGTTAGACAATATCGGCTTACTTCCCTTCTTGCTGTCAAAAAGGTTTGAGGGAATTTGTCGGTAATTATTGTACACCAGTGGCCACCAACCTTTTCAGTCAAGATCACTTTGAGTCAAAATTCAAGCAGAGATCTACCACTCAGATTTTTTTTAACATAACTTTTAAAAAATTAAGCCTATGCAACATTAACCTATAAACAACAGTACTGTAGCAGTGAGGTTTGTGTAGTAGGCTATAGGCCCAATACATTATCACCGCATATTGGCTTTGCTTGAATTGCCTTGAATACTTTTTGAATTTTACTCACGTAGTATTATACTGGGTGACTTTAAATTTTACTTGAGTGATTTTCTATTAAGGCATCTTTACTTTTACTCAAGTAGGACAATTGGGTACTTTTTCCACCACTGCAGTACATTAATACAGTTCACTACTGGAGCTAATAGGCCTATTTATTATGAATGTTAATATATTTATAATATATTTATAATATAGGCCTATTTATATGCTTCATAATGCTTTTGAATGACCCTTCCGGTTTTGGCGGGAAATACCGGGTTACCCGGAAGAAAAGTAATTTATTCTCTGGATGGAACATTTGTAAAATACCACAAACATATTCAACCCTAGCGCTGATGCCAATGAAAGTGTATGTTATAAAATGGGTAATTTGGATATTGGATGCTGATTGGTTGATAGGCGTTAGTTATTCACGATAATCCATTTTAATTATTTTAAATTTTAATTATCACTGTGCATCCACTGTCCCACAGACCAGCCAGGCAATTCATAAACATTATCTCCACAAAAAAATATATATACAGTGAGGTAAAAAAGTATTTGAACCCCTGCTGATTTTGTACGTTTGCCCACTGACAAAGAAATGATCAGTCTATAATTTTAATGGTAGGTTTATTTGAACAGTGAGAGACAGAATAAAAACAAAAAAATCCAGAAAAACGCATGTCAAAAATGTTATAAATTGATTTGCATTTTAATGAGGGAAATAAGTATTTGACCCCCTCTCAATCAGAAAGATTTCTGGCTCCCAGGTGTCTTTTATACAGGTAACGAGCTGAGATTAGGAGCACACTCTTAAAGGGAGTGCTCCTAATTTCAGTTTGTTACCTGTATAAAAGACACCTGTCCACAGAAGCAATCAATCAATCAGAATCCAAACTCTCCACCATGGCCAAGACCAAAGAGCTCTCCAAGGATGTCAGGGACAAGATTGTAGACCTACACAAGGCTGGAATGGGCTACAAGATCATCGCCAAGCAGCTTGGTGAGAAGGTGACAACAGTTGGTGCGATTATTCGCAAATGGAAGAAACACAAAAGAACTGTCAATCTCCCTCGGCCTGGGGCTCCATGCAAGATCTCACCTCGTGGAGTTGCAATGATCATGAGAACGGTGAGGAATCAGCCCAGAACTACACGGGAGGATCTTGTCAACGATCTCAAGGCAGCTGGGACCATAGTCACCAAGAAAACAATTGGTAACACACTACGCTGTGAAGGACTGAAATCCTGCTGCGCCCGCAAGGTCCCCCTGCTCAAGAAAGCACATATACATGCCCGTCTGAAGTTTGCCAATGAACATCTGAATGATTCAGAGGAGAACTGGGTGAAAGTGTTGTGGTCAGATGAGACCAAAATCGAGCTCTTTGGCATCAACTCAACTCGCTGTGTTTGGAGGAGGAGGAATGCTGCCTATGACCCCAAGAACACCATCCCCAACGTCAAACAAGGAGGTGGAAACATTATGCTTTGGGGGTGTTTTTCTGCTAAGGGGACAGGACAACTTCACCGCATCAAAGGGACGATGGACGGGGCCATGTACCGTCAAATCTTGGGTGAGAACCTCCTTCCCTCAGCTAGGGCATTGAAAATGGGTCGTGGATGGGTATTCCAGCATGACAATGACCCAAAACACACGGCCAAGGCAACAAAGGAGTGGCTCAAGAAGAAGCACATTAAGGTCCTGGAGTGGCCTAGCCAGTTTACAGACCTTAATCCCATAGAAAATCTGTGGAGGGAGGTGAAGGTTCGAGTTGCCAAACGTCAGCCTCGAAACCTTAATGACTTGGAGAAGATCTGCAAAGAGGAGTGGGACAAAATCCCTCCTGAGATGTGTGCAAACCTGGTGGCCAACTACAAGAAACGTCTGACCTCTGTGATTGCCAACAAGGGTTTTGCCACCAAGTACTAAGTCATGTTTAGCAGAGGGGTCAAATACTTATTTCCCTCATTAAAATGCAAATCACTTTATAACATTTTTTACATGCATTTTCTGGATTTTTTTGTTGTTATTCTGTCTCTCACTGTTCAAATAAACCTACTATTAAAATTATAGACTGATCATGTCTTTGTCAGTGGGCAAACGTACAAAATCAGCAGGGGATCAAATACCTTTTTCCCTCACTGTATAATGTTTTGCTATTACTTCTAGCCTATCATTTCATTTTCAACAGCGGGGGGTTGTATAAACCTTTCTGTCTGCCTCTCCAATCTGTGCCACGTTGCAATAGAAATCAAATCAAAGTTTATTGCCATTGTTGAAGTTGTTTGTACTGACGTTAAAATGAGGGGTGTTGTACAAAACAAAGTAATCAGCGAATGGATCATCTCTAACCAATCAGAGTATCAAAGACAATTATGAATTTTCAAAACGCAGCTTTACCCATATGTGTTCTGGCTCTGGCACAACCCATCGGTTTATGGGACCAATCAGAACGGTTAGAATGTGTTTGCGTTCTAGAAATCGTCAGGGAGGTACTCAGATCGAGACTCATTGTGGAGAAGAAACGAATGTCTGTGGGCGTGGCATAGCGTTTGGCCGGAGCAAGGAGTTTGGGTAGCAAGGCAACCTTAGCCGTGTGTTATTTACAATAATACATGGGTTCTCATGCCTTATTGCTTAAGTAACCTCTCTGTCAGTTTGTATAGTACAGTTTGTGAAGTAAGAGAATACATTTTTAGTTCTGCTAATTGATGACTGTGTCTAGAACCTTTAACTAGCATTAGGCTTACACACTTAAATAGAAACTGCAATTCGATTTTCAGTATGTTACCTAAATTCTGAAATGTTTCAATATTACTTGTGCCCTGTAATAAGTGCAATTGAACATCATGACTGTGATAACCCATGTGTGTCACCATCGGATTATGCTGTATTTCTAAGAAATGGGATGATTCAACGCAATGTATTAGATAATGGTAAGCCCCAGGATCATGTATGTATTATTATTATATAATGGTAAGCCCAAGGATCATGTATGTATTACTTTACTTCTGTATAATAGTAATAATAATAAAATAAAAAAATGAAGGTTGACACCTGTTAAATATTTTGACTTATGTACAATTGCAGTAAATTGAAGTTGAGGGGTGGTCTGTTTATATTGGTCCATTTTTCCTTGCTTTATATAGGTAGACCCTCATATTTTAGGCCGGGATTCAATCTGATCCGCGTTAGATCTGAGTTATAGCTCGCTTGAGTCGACATTTAAAGGTAATATACGATTGATCCGGCATCTGCAGCGTTTACTGTGAATACAATCTCCAGAAAAGCGGGAACATTGTCTTTAAAAGCGGCATTATCTACATGAGCAATCATATTGAATCCCGGTCTTAGTGTCTTAATCCAGAAAGAACATTATATTAAAGGAATCCTCCATACAATTGGACTGATTAATGGTGTTGTCTGTTATTGTGATGATTCTGTTCAGCTCCTTATTGCTTTGATGTCTTGTATCCTATGCAAATGTCATCAAGGTGTAAGATGATTTCAATAATAAAAAATAAGATTGCGAAAACGGCTATCATACATGTCAGATTTCAATACTGTCATAACTCGGGAGGATGTCTTTTCTCGAATGAGCCATTGGTCATATTTTTGCGTTATTCCTACCTCAAGAAATTAGTAATTTAACAGAGGGTCTAGTACATTTTCTTATTTATCTGCTTCTTTAGTCCAGGGTGCATTGCATTGTGCCGTTGCTAGAGATATTATAGAAAGGAGATAGGAATCCAATGAAAGAAGAAGGTATTCACCCCACCCAGCAGACTGTCGACCAATCGCGTTCACGTTGTCATGCTGCGTCATGTGGTTGCTAAGCTAGTCGTCATGCAATCCCTTCTCAAAGTCAGTGTCTATATCGAGAAACCTGCCTATTTTCCTTGAAAGTACGTAATGTCACGATTCCAATGCTATACTATATTACAGAAAGTAAGTTACTTATCTCACATCTAGGAAAATATATGTAATGTTGTACTGCTTG